GCACACAGAATTGTTTACTCAGGGACAGACACAGAATTGTTACTGAGGGACACAGAATTGTTACTGAGGGACACAGAATTGTTACTCAGGGACACAGAATTGTTTACTGAGGGACACAGAATTGGTTACTGAGGGACACAGAATTGTTACTCAAGGACAGACACAGAATTGTTACTCCAGGGACAGACACAGAATTGTTACTCAGGGACACAGAATTGTTTACTGAGGGACACAAAATTGTTACTGAGGGAACACACCAGAATTGTAGACGGGAAGAAGACACAGAATTGGTTTACTCAGGACAGATACAGAATTGTTACTCAGGACAGAATACAGAAATTGTTACTTAGGGACAGACAACATGCAATTGTATTACTGAGGGACACAGAATTGTTACTGAGGGACACAGAATTGTTACTCAGGGACACAGAATTGTACTCTCAGGGACAAAGGAAAGAATTGTTACTGAGGGACACAGAATTGTTACTGAGGGACACAGAATTGTTACTCAGGGACAGACACAGAATTGTTTACTGGGGGACAACAGACATACCTTAGTTACTGAGGGAGAACCACAACCCCGCACAGAATTGGTTACTCAGGGGACAGACACAGAATGTTACTCAGGGACAGACACAAGAATTGTTTACTGGGGGACACAGAATTGTTACTGAGGGACACAGAAAATTGTTTCTGAGGACACAGGGAATTGTTACTGAGGGACACAGAATTGTTACTCAGGACACAGAATTGTTACTGAGGGACACAGAAATTGTTACTGAGGGACACAGAATTGTTACTCAGGGACACAGAATTGTTACTCAGGGACAGACACAGAATTGTTTACTCCAGGGACACAGAATTGTTACTTGAGGGAGACACATAATCGTTGAATTAAAGAGTATTGCAGTCAGACAACATGCAGAGGAGTGGCAGAGGAGGACAATGTTTTAGGAGCCAGCAGACCCTGGCAGCAGAGGAAGGGTCGAAGGCAGCACTAAGTCATCGCAGCCAGAGGTCCATTGCTCCCGGTGTCATCCCAAGGCGGTCGTGTCTCCAACCGACAACCCTGCCGTCATCGATTGGATGAAAACTCGGTCGTCTTCCTCTTCCCAGGTCACCTCTGACAACTATATCAGCCAACGGTCGGGTACGTCAGAACACAACCGTTATTTGGCATGGCCCTGGAGCAAGCCCACTGAAATCACGTGTCCTCGACATCTGCCCCTGTCCTTTGGTGTTCCCTCACCAAGCGAAGTATCGCATGACTGTGGGCTCAGCCCACTGTACAGTGAGGAAGAGCTAACAGAGGGCGGTCAGGAACGGGGGAAACATCCGCCTCTTCAGCAGCCAGGCGAAAGAAGTAGTGCGAGGATCCTTAGAGTGGCTCGGTAGCGGGTTCCTTCTAGAGACAGGTCTGTCTATTCTCCTGACCCACACGGCAGCCGAAAGGGGTAGTAGTGAGGCGGAGACCCTAATTGATGATGATGAGGCTGATCGCACTTGGCAGCCTCGTCGTCATCAGGCTATTGCAGCTACCGCATCATCAGGAGAAGAGGGTGGCCAGCTTGGCAGCGAGCAAAACAGTCGGTGGGTTGCCCAGGAGGCAGCAGGGTCGCAGCAGTGTCAGTGGAGGCAAACGGCCACGGAGTAGAGCACCAGCTCCACTGCAGCCTACCACCACGGCCAGTAGTGCCAGGTGTGCACAGGGAAGGGGGGGCAGGGCTGTGGGAACATCCGGAGCTGTGAGATGGGTGGGCAGCAAGTAGCCAGAGATCAGCCAGTGAGTGAGGGTTAATCGGGGGGGGGGGGGATTAACGTTATAATAATTTTGTTTTTCCTACTCGCGCGTGTGGCAATTTTTTCGTCAAGCCGCCCCAGAAAGTAAACGTTAGCCGTATGTCGACTATGTGGCCAGAAAGTCAAGCGTGGCCAGGGGGCCCATGTTGGGACTACAGCGTTGCGGCCAGCATATGCAGCGTCGGCCATTTGGTGGCCTGGAAAAACCGTGATAAAGATACGGCGGTTCTGCCTGCCCCAGCCCCCGCTCCAATCACCCGCTCCGTTACTTGCTCCGTCACCCGACGTCAATCGCCCTCTATCAGCCATCAAGGCTCCAACACCTCTGCTGAGGGAGTTGTCCGCTCGTTGGCATCTTCCGCTCGTTCAGATGCTCCTTCTCCTGCTACTCCTCTTCACGGATTCCGTCAGCAGTCTTTCTGGCATCCCCGTTTCCAAGAGACAACAGTTTGCGAGCACGCACCCGACGGTGCAAAAGCTGAACGTCCTCCAGTCCCAAGTTGCTGGTGCTGCATCCCCCTCCCTTTCCAAGTGGTGGACTCAGCACCTTTCCGAGAAATGATGGCTTGTGCCGCGCCGCGGTGGAGAGTGCCAAGCCGTCATTTCTTCGCCAAAAAGGCAGTGCCAGCCCTGCATTCACATGTAGAAGAGATGGTGGCCAGTCTTTGGAGCATGTCCGTCTCTCATGCAAAGTGCACGGCAAGCGCCGACGTGTGGAGCTTGTAACGACGGTCAGGGACAGTACATGTCATTTACGGCCACTGGGTGAACGTGTGCCGTCACGGCCGCACCAGCAACTTGGACAGGTCACGCCGCTTTTGCCTTTCCACGTTTGCACGTCCTTGGTCCACAAAAGATGTCCGCCTCTACCACCTCTTCTTCCTTCGTGGTCCTCTGCCGCCACCCCCAAGTGCCAAGTCCCATTACCCGAAGCCGGCATATCACATGTGCAGGGCGCTAACAGTGTCCACGCTGTGCTGCACCTGGTATGCCTTGGCGAACGTAGTCCACACAGGGGAGGAACTTCTGAGTGTAATGAACAGAGAAATCGACAGATGGCTGTCTCCGCGCAAACTGAAAATCCGGAACCATGGTTGACCGACAACGGAAAGAACATGGTGTCTGCTCTGCGTCAAGGAAGGTTGTGCCATGGCTCACGTTGTTCAATCTGGTTTGTCAAGCGGTTCCTAAATCCACCATCCCCCCACTGCAAGACATCGTTAAAATGTCACGTAAACTTTGCATGCATTTTTCAGCCATTCCTACACCGCAAAGCACACCCTCCTTGAGCTGCAGCGGGCAGAAGACGGAATTCCACACATCGCCTAGATCTGCGACGTTGCAACAAGGTGGAATTCAACCCTACACATGTTAGACCGCCTTTACGAACAGCGAAAGGCCATCACCCGATTTCCTGATGTTACAAGCGATAAAGTACTCCCCTGTGTAACTTCGATGTCAGCCAATTGGCATCCGCTCATGCGTGACACCTGCCGCTTGCTCAGCCCTTTGAGGAGGCCACGCTATTCGTGAGTCGGCAGGACTATGGGATGAACGACGTCATTCCTCTGTTGCACGTCCTGGAACAAATGCTGTTAACAATGGCTGGTCAGGGTGCGGTAAGACGTGGCGCACAGATCTCAACGCCACATGACCCCTGTGGGGGCAGGACAGAAGAAGAGGAGGAGGTAGAGAGGACATTTGTGCTCAAGGAATTATTGAGTGAAATGGGTGGTTTTTCCACTCAGCGGACAGGAGTGAGGAGCAGGAGCATCTGGTAGAGAGGAGGAGAGGAGACAGAGGACCCAGACGCACCGTGGCAGTATGCTGTGGAGATGGAGGCAGGGAGTCCCACTCGCATTCCTTGGCACAAATGGCCCATAGCATGCTCGGTTTGCTTGCTTGGTAGCGACAGCCGAATAATAACCATCAGACAGAGGGATGACTTTGGCTGTCCACCTTGTTGGACCCTCTCTCGCTACCGTTCAAAAATGGTGGCCTTTTCACACCTCTGAGAGGGAGGCCAAAATTAACGTACTAAAAAACCACCTATGTAGTCAGTTGGTCCTCTGCCCTTTTCTGCGCCAACGTCCATCCTCAACACTGTGGCCCTTGTGCGCTCGCGTTCCGCTGCCATGCGCATGGGAGTGCAGGGAGGGGTGGGGTGGTAGGAGCAGTGCAGCTCCACCAGCAGCGGGCTGCCTCAGTCTGCAGTCGATGATGAGTAGCTTTCTTCACCAGCGCAGTGAGGAAACTACTAACCAGCCGCAGCAGCAGCAGCAGCATCAGGTTAACCTGGAGCAGGACCTCAAACAACAGGCTTGGGCCTACTTGGACAGCACCCTGCCAACCGAGGTAGTACAATCCCCTTGACTACTGGGCAACGAAACTTGACCTTTGCCCCAACTACTGAATTTGCCCTTGAAAGGCTGTCATGCCCAGCCAGTAGCGTGGCATCGGAGCGCGTTTTTAGTGCGGCAGGAGGTATTGTAACTCCGCGCGAGAAACACGACTGTCCACCCAAAGTGTGGAGAGACTCACGTTTGTGAAAATGAATCAGGACGTGGATTAGTCTGGATTTCAAACTACCAGTTCCTGACACAACTGACTAAATCCGCCATGAATCATGCCCCAAACATGTGCCACTTTCAGGTCTCCTCACACTGCTGGTGTGTTCCATTTTTGTCATAGGGTGCTGGCAGATTACGGGCCTCCCATTGCTGCTGCCAGGCCCCTTAATCTGCCATGGGCCCCTGTACCGCCTCCTCATTGCATGCTGCTGCCAGGTCCACACAGTGTCTCATGGGTCCCTGTACGGCCTTCCCCCCATGCTGCTGTCTCCATCGCCACACTCTGCCATGTGCCACTTTCAGGTCTCCTCAACACACTGCTGGTGTGTTCCCATTTTGTGTCATAGGGGTTGCTGCAGATTACGGCCTCCCATTGCCTGCTGCCAGGCCCCCATTCTAATCTGCCATGGGCCCCCTGTACTCTGCCTCCTCATGCTTGCTGCTCAGGAGTCCACAGTGGTCTCATGGGTCCCTGTACGGCCTCCCATTGCTGCTGTCTCCATCGCCACACTTCTGCCATGTGCCACTTTTCAGGTCTCCTCACACTGCTGGTGTGTTCCATTTTTTGTCATAGGGTGCTGGCAGATTACGGGCCCCCCATATAGCTGCTGCCAGGCCCCTAATCTGCCATGGGCCCCTGTACCGCCTCCTCATGCTGCTGCCAGGTCCACAGTGTCTCATGGGTCCCTGTACGGCCTCCCATTGCTGCTGTCTCCCATCGCCAACACCTCTGCCATCCGTGGCCACTTTCAGGTCTCCTCACACTGCTGGTATGTTCCAATTTTTTGTCATAGGGTGCTGGCTCAGATTACGGGCCTCCCATTGCTGCTGCCAGGCCCCTAACTTGCCATGGGCCCCTGTACCGGCCTCCTCATGCTGCTGCCAATAGTCCACAGTGTCTCATGGGTCCCTGTACGGCCCTCCCATTGCTGCGGTCTCCATTGCCACACTCTGCCATGTGCCACTTTCAGGTCTCCTCACACTGCTGGTGTATTCCATCATTTTTTGTCATAATTAGGTGCTGGCAGATTACGGGCCTCCCATAGCTGCTGCCAGGGCCCCTAATCTGCCATGGGCCCTGTACCGCCTCCTCATTCTGCTGCCAGGTCCACAGTGTCTCATGCCATGAGTGCCACTTTCAGTCTCCTCACACTGCTGGTGTGTTCCATTTTTTGTCATAGGGTGCTGGCAGATTACGGGCCTCCCATAGCTGCTGACAGGCCCCTAATCTAGCCATGGCCCCTGTACCGCCTCCTCATGCTGCTGCCACGTAAGTCCACAGTGTCTCATGGGTCCCTGTACGGCCTCCCATTTGCTGCTGTCTCCATCGCCACAGACTCTGCCATGTGCCACTTTCAGGTCTCCTCACACTGCTGGTGTGTTCCATTTTTTTGTCATAGGGTGCTGGCAGATTACGGGCCTCCCCATTGCTGCTGCCAAGGCCCCTATCTGCCATGGGGCCCCTGTACCGCCTCCTCATGCTGCTGCCAGGTCCACAGTTGTCCTCATGGTCCCTGTACGGCCTCCCATTGCTGCTGTCTCCATCGCCACACTCTGCCATGTGCCACTTTCAGGTCTCCTCACAATCCTGCTGGTGTGTTCCATTTTTTGTCATAGGTGCTGGCAGATTACGGCCTCCATAGCTGCTGCCAGGCCCCTAATCTGCCATGGGCCCCTGTACCCCGCCTCCTCATGCTGCTGCCAGGTCCAGAGTCTCTCATGGGTCCCTGTACGTGGGCCTCCCATTGCTGCTGTCTCCATCGCCACACTCTGCCATGTGCCACTTTCAGGTCTCACACACTGCTGGTGTGTTCCATTTTTTTGTCTTAGGTGCTGGCAGATTACGACAGGCCTCCCATTGCTGCTGCCAGGCCCCTAATCTTCCATGGGCCCCTGTACCGCCCAGTCCTCACATCATGCTGCTAGCCAAGGTCCACAGTGTCACTTTTAGGTCCCTTTTAACGGCCTCCCATTGCTGCTGTCTCCATCGCCACAAACTCTGCCATGTGCCACTTTCAGGTCTCCTCACACTGCTGGTGTGTTCCATTTTTTGTCATAGGTGGCTGGCAGATTACGGGCCTCACCAAACAGGAGCTTCTGCCAGGCCCCTAATCTGCCATGGCCCCTGTACCCGGCCTCCTCATGCTGCTGCCAGTTCCCACAGTGTCTCATGGGTCCCTGTACGGCCTCCCATTTGCTGCTGTCTCCATCGCCACATACTCTGCCATGTGCCACTTTCAGGTCTCCTCACACACTTAGCTGGTGTGTTCCATTTTTTGTCATAGGGTGCTGGCAGATTAACGGGCCTCCCATTGCTGCTGCCAGGCCCCTAATCTGCCATGGGCCCCTGTACCTCAAGCCTCCTCATGCTGCATTCGCCAGGTCCACAGTGTCTCATGCCATGTGCCACTTTCAGGTCTCCTCACACTGCTGTGTGTATTCCATTTTTTGTCATAGGGGTGGCTGGCAGATTACGGGCCTCCCATAGCTGCTGCCAGGCCCCTAATCTGCATGGGCCCCCTGTACCCGACCTCCTCATGCTGCTGCCAGGTCCACAGTGTCCTCATGGTCCCTGTACGGCTCCCAATTGCTGCTGTCCATCCCACAAAATCGCCACAATCTCTGCCATGTGCCACTTTCAGGTCTCCTCACACTGCTGGTGTGTTCCATTTTTGTCATAGGGTGCTGGCAGATTACGGGGCCTCCCATAGCTGCTGCCGAGGCCCCTAATCTGCTATGGGCCCCTGTAACCATACCTCCTCATGCTGCTGCCAGGTCCAGAGTCTCTCATGGGTCCCTGTACGGGGCCTCCCATTGCTGCTTGCCGAGGAGGCAGCAGGGTCGCAGCAGTGTCAGTGGAGGCAAACGGCCACGGAGTAGAGCACCAGCTCCACTGCAAGGCCTACCACACGGCCAGTAGTGGTGCCGGTGTGCACGGAGGAAGTAGCAGTCAGCCAGTGAGGAGTAGCGGGGGCAAAGTTTCCTACTCGGTCGGTGTGGCAATTTTTCGTCAAGCCGCCCGAGGAAGTAAACGTAGCCGTATGTCGACTATGTGGCCAGAAAGTCAAGCGTGGCCAGGGGGCCCATGTTGGGACTACAGCATTGCGTCAGCATATGCAGCGTCGCCATTCGGTGCCTGTGAAAACCGGTGATAAAGATACGGCGTTTCTGCCTGCCCCAGCTCAGGGTTCCATTTTGTCATAGGGTGCTGGCAGATTACGGGCCTCCCATTGCTGCTAGCCAGGCCTTAATCTGCCATGGGCCGTAATTAACCTGTACCCTGCCTCCTCATGCTGCTGCCATGTCCACAGTGTCTCATGGGTCCCTGTACGGCCTCCCCATTGCTGCTGTCTCCATCGCCACACTCTGCCATGTGCCACTTTCAGGTCTCCTCACACTGCTGTGTGTTCCATTTTTTGTCATAGGTGCTGGCAGATTACGGGCCTCCCATAGCTGCTGCCAGGCCCGTAATCTGCCATGGGCCTCAGTACCGAGCCTCCTCATGCTGCTGCCAGGTCCACAGTCTCTCATGGGTCCCTGTACGGCCTGCCCATTGCTGCTGTCTCCATCGCCACACTCTGCCATGTGCCACTTTCAGGTCTCCTCACACTGCTGGTGGGTTCCATTTTTTGTCATAGGGTGCTGGCAGATTACGGGCCTCTCATTGCTGCTGCCAGGCCTGTAATCTGCCATGGGGGGGCCCCCCCCCGCCCACCGACTCCTCATGCTGCTGCCAGGCCCGTAATCTGTCATGGGCCCCTGTTTCGCTTGTTGGCATATTCCGCTCGTTCAGATGCTCCTTCTCCTGCTACTCCTCTGCAACGTATTGGATTCCGTCAGCAGTGCTTTCTTTGGAATCCGTTTTTGTCAAGAGACAACAGTTTGCGAGCATGCACCGACGGTGCAGAAGCTGAACGTCCTCCTGTCCAAGTTGCTGCTGCCAGGCCCGTAATCTGTCATGGGCCCCTGTACCGCCTCCTCATGCTGCTGCCAGGTCCAGAGTGTGTCATGGGGTCCCTGTACGGCCTTCCCATTGCTGCTGTCTCCATCGCCACACTCTGCCATGTGCCACTTTCAGGTCTCCTCCACACACTGCTGGTGGGTTCCATTTTGTCATAGGGTGCTGTATGGCCTCCCATTTGCTGCTGCCTCCACCGCCACACTTTGGCTCCACACTCCACACTCTGGTTTCTGGCCCCGTGACTGCCCAAATGAGTGAAGTGTTCGTGCGGTGATTCTAGTGTCATCGACGGCACCTCCCCAGCCAGACTCCAGGGCATGCATGTCAACTGCACTGACAGTATTATTTCTCTTCCTCCAGCAGACTCCAAATCGGAACATTTAAATTAAGGTACAGTGTTCTGCACTAAAACTAAATAAAGGCTCTCTGAAGCCTAGAAAACACCCTAGACAAATTTATAAGTTAAAAGTCGCCAATTCGCATTTTGATATAATCGAATATATTCGACTCGAATTCGCGAATTCAAAATTTTTTCACGACGAAATTCGCCCGAATCAGTCGAATCGAATTGTTTGAACAATTCGCTCATCTCTACTGATTATATCAAAATGCAACAAAGCAAGTGTGATTGCGACAAAATATGTAGAAATTGCTGCATGTAGTATACAGTAATTTGTCTAGACAGGAAAACAATTTGCTGAAGAATCATCCACCAGGCTAAAACAGGTGGTTACACATCAGTTATTTTCTTTATGGTAGACTAGTTAAAACTGTGGATGATTTACTAGAGGATGATGGTGACATAATTATCCCCTTGATGTCATGTGCCATAACGTGAATAAATAATGTGGTGGGTATCCTTTTTACCTTTTTCACATATTTCTACAAACAATTTAATATTATGAATGTATTTAGATAGTGGCAGTCCTGTATTATAAAGTAATTATGTCATTTCATATGTACACCTCCAAGGCTTGGTTTTATGAGTCAGCAAAAGGTCAGCATATACTTGAATTCCTTTAGCTGTCACTGTGGAAATTGGTTACTCTTGAAGTATTTAAAGCTGAACTACAGTAAAAAATCATGTTTGTGACTCCTCCTCCAGGTAGTAAGGATTAAATGCTTGCTTTTTCTAGAGGTAAGAAACAGGCAAAAATGATTTATTAATTCTTTCCATGAGTACTGTAGGTCAAAGGCCCACACACATGCTGGGAGCAAAGGAATTAAGGTACATTTTTCTGTCTTTTTCCTATCCTTTAGACTAAATAAGCATTTATCTCTTACAACCTGGTGAGGGAGTGTCCTAAAAAAAATCTCTCACCCCTGGTTCACATACAGTTGTGTTCAAAATAAATAGCAGTGTGTTGAAAAAAGTGAATAAAGCTCAAAATCCTTCTAATAGCTTTTATTTCCATACACACAAATGTATTGGGAACACTACACATTCTATTCCAAAACAAAAAATGAAGAAAAATATATCAAATTTGTGTTGTTCCTCTAAAACAATTGAAGAAAAGTGAATATTAGACTGTTCAAAAAAATAGCAGTGTTTGTATTCTTCTTTACAAACTCAACCATTCACTATATAAACTGAAAAATGTTTGAAGATTTGCTTTCCTTTGAATCACTTAATGAATATTTAGTTGTCTAACCACTGTTTCTGAGAACTGCTGTACATCTGTGTTGCATGGAGTCAACCAACGTCTGGCACCTGTGAGCAGGTATTCCAGCCCAGGATGATTGGACTACATTCCACAGTTCTTCTCTATTTCTTGGTTTTGCCTCAGAAACTGCATTTTTGATGTCACCCCACAAGTTTTCCATTGGATTAAGATCCGGGGATTGGGCTGGCCACTCCATAACGTCAATCTTGTTGGTCTGGAACCAAGATGTTGCATGTTTACTGGTGTTTTTGGGGTCGTTGTCTTGTTGGAACACCCATTTTAAGGGTATTTCTTCTTCAGCATACGGCAGCATGACCTCTTCAAGTATTCTGATGTATTCAAACTGATCCATGATCCCTGGTATGCGATAAATAAGCCCAACACCGTAGTATGAGAAACATCCCCATATCATGATGCTTGCGCAACCGTGCTTCACTGTCTTCACACAGTATATTGTGGCTTGAATTCAGTGTTTGGGGGTCGTCTGACAAACTGTCTCCGGCCACTAGACCCAAAAAGAACAATCTTACTTTCATCAGTCCACAAAATGTTGCGCCATTTCTCTTTAGGAGGCCAGTCAATGTGCTCTTTGGCAAATTGTAACCTCTTCAGTACATGTCTTTTTTTCAACAGTGGGACTTTGCGGGGGATTCTTTCAGATAGCTTGGCTTCACATAGGCGTCTTCTAATTGTAACAGTACTCACAGGTAACTTTAGACCTTCTTTGATGTTCCTGGAGCTGATTGTTGGCTGAGTCCTTGCCATTTTGGCTATTGTTCTATCCATTCGAATGGTAGTTTTTTCACTTTCTTCCACGTCTTTCAGGTTTTGGTTGCCATTTTAAAAGCATTTGCAATCATTTTAGCTGAGCAGCCTATCATTTTCTGCACTTCTTTATATGTTTTTCCCTCTCCCAATCAACTTTTTAATCAAGGTACGCTGTTCTTCTGACCAATGTCTGGAACGACTCATTTTCCTCAGAATTTCAGAGAGAAATGCACTGTAACCAGCATGTACAACATTTGCTGCCTTCCTTCCTACCCAAGTAGTATTCTATAAGAGAAGGGATATCCACATGATAAAATTACAGAAGCTTACCATCATTATTTGATTTCTTCACCTCAAATTGAAATGCTGAAAGATAAATATTCTCAAAATGTATGATTTATTACGCAGTTTAATCACAGCTTCAGAGCATCAAAGCTATAGAGCCATAGAACATGCAATAAGAAAGAACTGCGAGGTGCCAGTAAGAGGTTTACTTCAAGATCCAAAATTCGGCCCAGATCTGCCTATTAAGCTGGACATCACGAAAAATATATTTATTTATCACCTGTTCAAATGATTATGTGGCCTTACCTGTCCCTGTAGCTGTTTATACATAGGCTGCACAATACGACCCTTGCAAAAAGAATAGGTGAACATCACAGGTATATTGAAAGTGCTTCTTTTGAACACACGGTCCCTGAAAGTATTTTTACATTTAAAAGGCTATGTTTTGCATGCAAACACTTATAGATGTATAATGGTTTCAGAGTACTTACTATTTTCCCTCAATCAGACAAATTTCACATACTCTGCAATCAAGAAACATACTGGATATATAAGCTTAATACCCTAGTACAGTGGTCACTAAATGGCGGACCGTGGCCCACAACCAAACCGAGGAACAGTCCTGTCAGGACTACAGCCATGCCACTGCCATGGCTGGGTATCCTCTTCCGGGCCTCTCACTCAGCCACCAATGTCATCCTCACAGTGGGCGGAGTGTGAGGAGCTGCACATTCGGAGTGAGGGGTGGGAGCTTGTGATTACCCAGCTTGTTAATATATAAAGACTTCCGCTCTCTGCAGCTCGAGACAGAAAGTGTGAGTCTTTTCATATTAGCAAGCCAGGCAATCGCCCACATGTTAACATAATAACTTTGGCAGCTCCCGCCCCTCAATCCCGATCTGCAGCTCTTTCCACCCCCCACCAGCTATGAGGATGACATCAGTGGCGGGCTTAAGGTACAGGAGAGGACACCCCAGAAGCATTAGTGCCTCTGCTCTGCCTAAGGTACCATAGGACTGTGCAGGGGAAGGATTGCATTAAAAGGGGTACTGTGTTATATTAAGGAGTGCTGTGTTGTGATGGGGATACTGGGGAGTGACATGTTGTGTTAGGGGCATTGTGTTGTGTTAAGGGGCACTGCGTTGTGTTAGGGGTGCTGTGTTATCAGGACATCAAGTCTGAATAAACAACAAGATGTCTGCAGTAGTGAGGTGGGAAAAAGAGGTGAGGGGGAGGGGAGTGAGCTTCAGAGATGCCCAAAACCAACACCCAAAGCTGGATTACGATAATGAGTCATAGCTCTCCATAGACAGTGACAGATGGGCATATTATATGTACGAGGTCCATATCTGGGAGAATTTATTCTGCGTGTCCAGCCGGATGCTGGTCAGTTTTTCTCATTGATAAAGAACCTATTAGCCACTAATGAACTTGGGTTGCCCAGGAGAGGTGAGAGAGGTAAGTGTGGCAAGAGAAATATACTAAAATATTTACTGAAATTTTGGGACCCCAAGGCCACCTTGTTTTTTATGCGTAAAACATTGTATGTCAGGAGACCCATGGTTTTTTATTGAACCATATGAAATAAGAAACATGGTTCTGAAAGGATTTCAATGTGTACAATGGGATGGTGACTGGGACAGTGCGGAACAGTTATAGTAGCTTCGGCAGTATTGTCATTTTGGTAGTGTTGATCCTCCCTACCCAACAGAGGTGATGGTGAGACCAGCTGGAGAGGAGGGCTTTTAGTTTATGGAAAATTGGGATATAGCTTGCAGCCTATAGGGGCCTGGTAAAAACACATGAGGTTAATTCCTAGATAATTAAGGAGGGAGGAAGCCCCTATGAATTTAAAATTTTTGCTTCAAGGAGGTTACCTCCGTGTCAGGAAGCGTGATGTTAAGGGCCATAGACTTGTTTTCATTGATGAAGAGTCCTGATATGTCCGAGAATTGTTTAAGGGTAGAGAGTAAATTAGGTAGAGTGGTATATGATTGGGTTAGAGTTAGAAGTAGGTCGTTAGCAAACAGGTTTATTTTGTACGAGTTAGGTCCCATATCAACACCTCGCATATCAGGGTTAGATTTGATGAGGCACGTCAGTGGCTCCAAACCTAAAATGAACAGGAATGGAAAAAAGAGGACAACCTTGCTGGGTGCCTCCATGGATCTAGAAAGGTGTAGAGTGGTAGGAAAGATAATACACTGTACAAATCTTCACTTTTTAAGTTGAAATCTGCCTCAAACAGAACCCGGTTATGTTCTCCTTATCACTAGGGAAAGCCCTCTACTGGATCCTTTCAGCAGAATGCAAACGGCCCATCCCTTATCATGCACACAAGATGCACTCTAATGATGTATAAATCAATATTTCTAAATCTCCATCCCTTCTATATAGACAGGGTCAGAGTGGGCAACTCCCAAATAACCCTCTGCACTATGGCTGCTCCAGCTAAAGTCCTCCTCCTCCTGATTTTACCTGAAAATAAAACTTTCAATTGCACTAATTTCTAACAGCTGCTATAGGTGCACCCATTACATTGGTGTTACATGGTATTATGGGTTTTCCAATAGATAGCACAGCAGATTTCCTCTTTGTAACTGATGCCTTGTATGGAACTCTATAGAGCTGGTAAAGGAAACTGGAAAATGAATTCACCTTTATGTAATCTGAGCTTTTTCATTTTCACTCTGTAAAA